TTCAGGTATGTTGTACCGGGTGGGCCAATAATAAATGACGCCGGCTGTATCTCGACAACTTAACCTAGAGCTATCGGTAAAAAAAATTATAACAAAAGTGGCCAAGAGAAATTGCTGGAAATTATTTTTAGTTGCAGGCAGCAGCGGTGGCCGCATTGGTAGACTCTTCGGTCTCCTGATCAGACGCCCTGCGCTGTGCGGGTTCGAATCTCGGCTGTGCGGGTTCGAATCTCGTCCCAAGAGAATTTGTCTCTTGGCTATGGATGTTGTGATTGTCCGTAGGTGGTAGACAGTCTCTGACTGTCGAACGCGGAGGTACCACCCGGCGTATCTCGTTGACATGGCCAGAATGTGTGCATGTTGCATGCACACGTGTTCCCTCGCCAGAAAAGTTTCCAAGTGTGACCGCTAGGTGGCTTCATTGCAATTTTAAAAATTAAAATGCTATTATTTTGCAAGAAATAGCCTTATCGCTCAATTTTCGTACTTCCTTGTCTATGTTACTTTTTCATATTTTGGGTAGCTTTGGGGTGGGAAAGGGGTGAATTTCATTTCAGAGAGTCACAACTTTTGTTTCGCTACTTCGGCCAATTTTGATGGTCTTGGTTGCATTTGAAAGATTATCCAACTGCGCCCCTAATGAATGCTTAATTCTCAGTTTGTGGCCGCTCGATGGCGCTTTGAGCATGAGTCAGTGTTTTTTTTTGTTTTATCCATAACTTCAATTACAACAATATAATTTTTATATTGATCGGAGAGTGCAGAAAAAGCCCTATAAAGTGGTATTGTTTTAGGTAATATTGTTCTGCAGGTAATTTTCACGTTGCGCACCAGCCTCCAGCTGCGTCAACATTATAGCTCTTTCTTTTGTCTGCTATTTCCTGCTGCAAGTTTTGTTTCTTGATTTTCGGACTTCTGAGTCGGTGAGTTTTTTATACTCGTCTTGCATTAGAAAAACAGACTGGTACTACCAAGAAAATTCCCCTACTCTTAAAAAGGTGATGATGTACTCTTGATAATATAGTCTCCAGGAAGACGCGAAATCGTTTCAATCGGATTTTACAAAATATTTGAAATATATTAATATTAATTACTAATACTAACTACTAATTCATATTAATACTTTTAATCTTCGTCTGAAGGTGTTAATACGCGAAACATATGTCAATTTGGCGAGTGGTAAAACTCTGTATTAGTTACATAATGTTATCTTAATGTATAAAGAGTGACAATTAAATTGAATTTGATTAACTGGAATCTTCTTCATACGTTTCCTCGCTCTCTGTCCTACCAGCAGCGGAAATTTCCCTACAATCAACATTTCTATCTTTCTTCTCTTCAACATGCCTTTGATAACCTAGCTGCTACAATATAGCCGCATCGTATACACAGCTTACAAGGTGTGCTTCTACATTGCAATTTTTAACAGGCAAGCTAGCAAGCTAAAAGTTGAGATAAAAATTCCAAGTCAAAAATTCCAAGGTAGCGGCTGTGTGCCTTCTTATAACATTTTTTCAAATGGAATGTGATGCTTATTATCGAGACTCCCTCTGAGTACTTTATAACCCAGGATGAAAATCATGACTGGTAGACAGCAAAGTCCAGCGTTCTTGTATATTAATCGTTTATAACTTCGCAACTAATCCTTAAAACTTCATAGTAAGAAACATCAATTTCCTTCTTTTGGCAGGATCCATCTGAATGTGTAATAAAAAAAAGAGACATTAACGAAAAATGACAGATTTAGATTTCACTAAGCGTAATGATTCATATTCCAATACATATCCGGATAGACCATGATTCTTTATAAAATATTTATAAGGAGCTTCAAAATAAGGTATAACACATTCCATTTGAAAAAATGATCCAAAATGGCTCTTGGCTGTCATCTCGAAATTTTCATTTGCCCCCTCCACGCTAAAATATAGATTTCATGCATACATATTTTTATTTTTTTTATTTTTGGGCGAATACGTGGGTACGTAGATGTACAGATCGTCTCCGTAAATATTTGTAGTTTTATATAGTTATAAGTGCCACTTTCGTCCAGATTTTTGTTGTGCAGTCAGATAAGTAGATTGATATTGCATTGCAAAAGTGTCATGTCCAGTTCTGCTGGGGTGATGATGTTGTGATTAATTATATGTATCACTCGAATTCTGAGGATAATTTGGTGCAAAAGTGACGAGGCAGATAGCTGTTTATTTTTTTTTTGTGAACCAGTGGCGTACGCCCAGTTCCAATGGTGCAGGGAGCGGTATGTCGGGGAAAAATAAGCCGCCAGACATAGAAAGAAGATGTGAAGTGTGTGATGAGGAGATCCGTAAAGGAGGTGCTAAGGTAATGTGTAGCAATGTAAGCTGCGGAATCACCCTCCATCAAAAGTGCTTTGCCTCAATTGCTAAGGTTATTAAGTTAGACAAAGCTGAATGGTTGTGCAAAAATTGTGACGAAGAAAGCGATTCTTCGATTAACACTGTAATAACATCTGATTTGTCAAGGGAGTTAACTACGGTTAAACATGATGTGCAAATTTTGACTGACCTTGTGAATGAACTTAAACGTGCAAATGAGATTTTGTTGGATAAAATTGAGCAACTAACAGTCAATAAGCCTCCCGGTGTACAAACACCTTATCAAATTAGGAATCCCATATCTTATAGTCAAGCTGTTTCGACGAATGTGAAAAATGAGACCAAATCTGTATTGGTTATAACTTCAAAAAGTGATAAAGAAACAAACATGGATGTCTTAAAAAATATAAAGGCTAACGTTAATCCAGCAACTGAAAAAATTAGTATTAGCAGCACCAAACTTGTGAAACAGGGAATGCTCGTAAAATGTTCAAATAATGAATCTTTACAGAAACTAATAGCAATAGTTGAGGAAAAATTCAGTCGTCAGTATAAAATAACTACACCTAAATCTTTCAAGCCCCGTGTCTTAGTTTCTGATGTGGATAAATCTCTTGATAACAATGATGATTTTATTCAGTCGTTGGTGCAAAACAATACATTTCTGGTTGATTGCGACATAAAGATAATAACTATGCTGAAGTTAAAATATTCTTTAAGTTATGTCATAGAAGTGGACCCGGAGGTAAGAAAAAGAATAATTTCTCAAGGCTGTTTGTACACGTCTTGGAGAAAATGTCACGTCCGTGATCATATATCGATAATCAGGTGCTTCAATTGCTCTCGGTTTGGTCACCTAAAAAAAGATTGTAAGAGTAAACCCTTGTGTGCAACTTGTTCCAATGAACATGATGTTAAAACCTGCGAATCTAGTATTAAAAAATGCGTAAACTGTTCGGCATATAACGACTACATGCTGAGTCGTTCTAGAAACTATAAGCCTTCTCCTGTAGACCATGCATCATCAGATACCCAATGTCCATGCTTTTTAAGGAGACTAGCACAAATTAAATCCAGAATTGATTATGGCTAAATCAATAAAAAATATTTTAAAAATATGCCATTTAAATGTACGTTCTTTAACGGCTGACTTTAATGAATTCTCATCTCTTGTACGATGCAAGTTTGATATTGTAGCAGTCACTGAAACATGGCTCCATTCAAACATTGATAGCACTGCTGTCAGTATGCATGGGTATAGCTTCTTCCGTAAAGATCGGGGGAGTAGAGCGGGTGGCGTCGGTCTGTATGTTAAAGTCGGTTTTAATAGTAGCGTTATTCCAGTTGAGTTCTGTGATTTTGTAATTCCCCTGGAAATTTTATGCTGCAAATTTAAACTACTGGGAAAAAGTATGCTAATTGTTGTGGTATATCGGCCACCACATTGTTCTATATCTCAAGCTATCCAATCCTTAGAAAACTTGATCGCATTTTTCACACCCCAATATGATAGTATTGTATTTTTAGGAGATATGAACGTTGACTTGCTTGCGCATAATAATATCCTTAGCAGCTGTTTTGATTCTTTCAATTTCTTTCAAGTCATTAATGACCCTACACGAGTTACAGCTTTCAGCTCCACATTAATTGACCCCATTTTTGTAAGTGACAGTACTATAGTAAAGAAGTCTGGGACACTTAATGCAGACTCGATTAGTGATCACCGACTTGTTTTCTGCGAGATCTCCATTAGTAGTAATAAAATAGAGCCCAAATTTGTAGCATATCGGGATCTCAAAAGCATTGATATCCCTAGTTTTAAACGGGCCTATCTTTTTAGCAAATTGATACCTCGTGGTAACTTCGTACCAAGGACTCTTAGATTTAATATTAATTTTAATATGCCGCTCCACAACACTTTTATCTTTGAAAGGAGTTATACCTATAATGCTGTTAAACATTACAATGCTCTTAACCATTCGCATCGATCCAAGCCAGTCTCTTCTTTTAAGAAATTAATGAAAAATCAGTTGCTGGAGACAAGTTAGTTCTCTGTGTTTATATATGTATATGATTGTCTTTTCCTGATTGTTTTGTGTATCTGTCGTTCATTTAATGAAACTATGTTGTTCTTAATTACTTTTTTTTATAACATGTGTATGTATTTTTCTTTCTTTTTTCTCTGCTTTGGGGTTAAGTGGAGGAGTAGCCGTCTGGCTAAACTTCGCCTCACTGCAGATAATAAAGGCATTATTATTATTATTATTATTATTATTATTATTTGATTACCCCAAATTTCCCCTTGCAAGCTTTGATCCGTTCAACAAATACATACGGGTGCGGGGTTGTTGAAAGGCACTATGGCTATATAAAAACTAGTGTTTACTGATTTCGTTAATGTAATGAAAATTAAAGTGTAAAAAAATGTCGCTCGGCATCCTTTGCCTCAAAAAACATTATTTGCTGACACGTGAAATAGGTAGATTGATTATGCTTGTCGATGTGAGTAACTGAGCTAAGGCATACTTGTTGTAGTGCTTGTTTTCACAAGTGAACGTAACCACTGATAGTAAGAAAATGACACCAGAACACTAGTTGGTGAGACAGATTGATATGGCAGGTTTGATAAGTACGACTCCTATAAATTTATGTGTAGGTAAAATTGTTACCTGTACAAAGTTTTTCTGTAACTTCTCCTTCCATCGATGTACTGTTATCACTTATCAGCGTATCGTTCCCCGCGCCCCCTTCTGCCTCAGTTTCATTGAGTAGTGGCAGTCTGCATCCGAATTTCTTTTCCCAGAATTCCCGAAACCAAGGGTTTCGATGGTTATTGAAGGGTTGGAGGGACCAATAGTAGCGGTCGAATGAGCTGACTCTGGGCGAATGGATGCGAATTGACAGTCCTCCCCATGCCTCTTGCTCGTAGCTTTCTGTTACGTCTCCTCGATCTCCCCAGCCATCACTGGAAAAAACAGATTCCATAATTATTAGAACTTATAATTTTCCTTGCCTAAATCTAAACTACATACAATTCAGTGGATTTACCTTAACTAACTATGAATTTATTTGTAACCCAGACATGCTTTGTGTATCATATTTACAAGGAAACATCTAATTTGAATTTCTGCAAATCAATCTTTTTTTATTGTCCACTCATCCTCGATTTCTTATATTACCAGCAACATAATCGTGATTGAAGGATAATCCTGCAGCTCAATTTGGGCGATTTTTGTTGTGTTTTCTCATCTAGCTCCGCTGCCACTAAACCGATTTTCAAAAACGACAAAGCTTTCTGTCCTTGGCAGAGAGACAGACAACCAGACAAATCGACAGAGAGTAAGTTCCAAAAAATGTAATATTTCAATTTCTAAATTTTTCGCGATTACAATACTTTCCCGCCAGTGGCGTAGGAAGTAAAAATGAAAAAGTAATCATTATTCATTGGATCAGGAATTTTAAGTACCATACTTTCACTAAGCTAGGCTAACCACCGTAAAAAACTATTCTTTTGGACGGTTTGGCAGAGCGATTACACTTTATTGAAAACGGTATTATTTAAAATGTTGCGCTCTTTCTCATTTTAAGTAAAAAATGAAACTGTTAGGTATATAATATTCAATTCTGAGTATTTTGTTGTAACATGACAATACTTCGGCATATCGCACTCCGCCAGGTCAAGGCATCTTCAATCACATATATTCGACTTTCGATCAAGAATTTGAGGAGATATAAAGTATGCTTTGATCATGTAACTTGAATCACGCTCATTTTGTATTTTTCGTCATTTTTGTTTCCATTCATGGATCAGAGAGGCAGCCACATGTGGGAAGGGCCGGCCTTGAGGCAAAGGATCAAAAATATGCGGCCTTCCCTGAATGAATGAATGAATCATGAAATTAGATGCATACCGGCCACCATAAGGAGCTGGAGCATAGGTACGCCACCTAAACGGGCCATTGTGCACCTCTACATTCCTTAGAGCTCAAGACTCGCCATTCTAGCAAAGTTGAGTATGGCTTTGAGTCCAAGCTCCTTAACGTCCTCGGTGTCCAAAGCGATGGACCCTAGTGTAGTCTGCCTGTAGTAACTCAGAGCTCCACAGTGACACAGAACGTGCGTCGAGGTCTCTTCTTCTACGCCGCAGCGTCCACACAAGGGATCCTAACTTGAAAATCGTTTGCTCTAGGCATTTTTCTAGAAAAAAGATTCTTGTGTCAAGTATTGTGTATACAAGTGTCCTGATGAATTATTCCTCTCTCCTATATTCACTTGTTTAACCAATCAGTAATTCTGTAAAAACCAACAACTGATCACTTCTTTCAGGTCAAATTTTCAAGAACAATGCATTTTCAGAAAGAGTTCGACAGTATACCTAATGATCGGTTGATGCCCAGTATAACTTTTATTCATCTAATTTGAGTGATTTTGGCTAACCTTCCATAAAAATATCTTATAAAAAGTATTTATCTCACATCGTTTGATGTAACTTTTATTAGGGTTTCATTTATTTATTTATACACTACTCGACAGCAACAGCCATTTACAGAGTAGGATACAGAACGGATAAAAAAAAAAATTTATTTTTTTATAATACACGCACGAATAGGCAGCTCGAACACAAAGATGCTATTTAAAAATATGTTACAAATATTAGATGAGGAAGCAAAAAAGACAGACAAAACCTCACAGAAATATATCCAACTGTTCTGCAATGTCATTAACTCTACCGCAAGAGTAAAATAGTGGAGAAAACTTTAGGATGTTTGTTTTACGGACAGGCAAATAAAAAGTATCAAATTGTCTAGAATGTAAGCGTGGAATAAGAAGATTAAACTTATAAAATATAATTGTGCAATATACTACGCACAAAATTAATGCAGCACTTATCACGCCTTTCACTGAGGCTTTCTAGTTCAAAGGCTTCTTCTAAAATTTCTTGAGGGTAGCCAGTTGGCGGGTAACTGACATTTTCCTGGAAATATAGGTATTTTAGTAATCGTCGCTGGATATTTTCAAGTTTATCTATCCAGAAGTTATAGCAAGGCGGCCAAATAACTGAAGCATATTCAAACTTTGAACGAACAAGCAAGCAGTACACAAGCTTAATTGTATTAATGTCTTGTAACTCACGACTACAGCGTATAATAAAGCCCAATCTTTTGTAACACTCAGCAATAATTGTCTCCATATGACCATTGAAGCAACATTTACTATTAGAAATGACGCCTAAATCCGTGACTTCACTTAAGCGATTGAGAGGTGTCCCATCAATATTATAGCCAAATACGATTGCTTGAGCTTTGTTGGTATAATTGACCACATTACACTTCGCAGCTTTTAAAGGTAAACAATTTTTGCGACACCAGCTGTCAAGCATGTTTATGTTACATTGTAACTTTTCACAATCATCAAGACACGGAATCGGACAAAGAAGCTTGAGATCGTCAGCATACAGGAGAAACTGGACATCTAATTGAATGTATATATCATTTATAAATAATGAAATGGAAAATAATGGCCCCAGGACAGACCCTTGAGGGACACCAGACGTAATCGTATAACTATTAGATTTGAAGCCGTTGTGCATTACGTAGCTGACTCTCTCAGATAGATAGGATCTTATAAGCGAGATGAGATGACCAATCACGCCAAAGTTAGTTAATTTGTCAAGGAGAATGCCAGGATCTATTCGGTCAAAGGCTTTCGAGAAGTCAGTATAAACGCTATCATTTTGAACACGGGAGTCTATATTTTCAGATATATACTGTGCAGTGCAGAATAAGTTAGTAACTGTTGACCGTTTTTTCATGAAACCATGCTGTTGAGTTATTAAAGTATTATGCACATGCCATTAAACTGAATCATAAATAAGAAACTCACACACTATCGAAAAGTTGTTGATAATTGTGATTTGCCTGTAATTATCAATATCACACTTGTTTCCTTTATTCTTGAAAACCGGACAGACTTTTGAGACTTTCCACGATGACGGGTAGGTATCATTGTTTAGTGATAAGTTATATAACCTTCCTAGACGCTTTGCAAAAACAGAAGCACAGTCTTTCAATACAAAAGCAGGAATTGCATCTGGTCCGGAGGTTAATTAAGGTTTTAGTTTTTTCAAGGCTTTATAAACTTCATCTTCATTAAATTTCGTCAAAATTAAAGAGGTATCTCCAATTGTCTGGGTAGTCAGTACTACCACTTAAGCTATTTATGAATGAATTTTGAAAGTAGTCAGCAAAGCCATTCAAAATGAATTGAGGGTCAATTATATCCAAACCATTATATACCATCTTTGCGGGTATTGAGCCTTGACCTCTCCTGTTGTTGACAAAAGATCAAAACTTTGACGGATCCGCTTTATATCATCTTCCGTTTTTCTTACATAATTTTTATAAGCAGCATCACTGTCTCTTTTGACCTTTAGTCTCAAAGCTTTGTAATCCCGCAAGACATCTTCATCAAGATTTCGCTTTAACCTCCTAAATAGTATTTCTTTAGCTCTGATATTATTTATGATACGTCCATTAAACCAAGGAGGGAGACGTCTATGACATTTGGTGGTAGAGTACTTAGGGATACAGTATGAAACAATAACATTTAATGTACCATAAAATTGCTTACAAGCTTCTTCAACATCATTTAGGTTATCAAGAAAGCTCCAGTTAGTGCAGAATATTTGGTCATACATTAAAGAAATATTGACTTATCTAAAATTGAAAGACTTGGGCCTCATTCTATCAAATTGTCTTGCTGGTTTGAGAAGTAATTCATTATTATAGAACTACAGAAAGATGATGCATATCCTCCATTAATAGGGGATCACTACATCTATCTACATTACAGGCAGGGTTGCTCAAAACAATATCTAAGAGCCTCATGTTGGAACTAAAAACGTAGTTGTATTGCTCAAGATAATAGGAATTACAAAAATTGAGGACGCATGACGAATAACTAGTAATATTGAGATCTCTCATAATTAATACATTAGCATCATGCAAGGAATGATCAGAACAAATCAACTCAAACACATTTTCATATGTGGAAAGAGGAGGAATATATACAACCAGTACGCACAAGTTTGTTTTCCCAAATACAATTTGACTCCAATGATATCAACGTCACATTGCATATCTAAGCATACCGACAAAAATTTATCGGAAATTGCCAAAAGTACGCTACCCCCACGGGTTTTGTTGCCAGAGAGAAATTTCTATCCTTCCTGTACACGTTGAAATTAAGATTAAATAATTCACAATTATTAACAGAAGAGTCTAAAAGTTTCAGTTAGGGCCAAACAATCAAAATTACTGGCGCAAACAGTGTTGTAAAAACGGTTCTTAATAAAGCTAGTTAAATTAGTAAAGCAAGTCTCTTTACACACTTTTTTCTGGGTTATTTCGCGGCGATAATTAGTTTAATGATTTTTCCAACAGTAGAATCTTCAAGCTATCTTGGCGGAACTCCGCTCGCTCCAAGAATTTCTGCAATGATGGATGACTTCCGGGACATAAGCGTTCCAATACTCCAGATAGGATCTGTTAAGATTCGAGCTTCTAATTTGGTAGCACTTACGTAATGGTGACTGTTGGACTAGTACATCGGATTTTGCAGCCAACTTATCATTGAGGCGTGATGGTTTGTATTTTCCAACTGAGAATATTAGAGAGCCAGTGAGAGCAAAAAGAACAAATGAGCGTTCCGAGTTCAAAGGCAGGTTACAAGTAATAATAATAATAATAATAATAATAATAATAAATCCTGAAGACAGAGTTAAACTCTAAAAATAAGTTTTCTGCTACCAACGCACTAGCTATACCTGTGGTAATATAGTTTTGGGCCTGGCTGAGATCAGAAGTCGAGAAAAAAGACCGGAAAACGCGAAAGATCCTAACCACGGGCAAAATTCATCATCCTAAAGCTGATGTTCAGAGGTTTTTATACTCCAACTACCACGAA